GCCCTGCTAAGGCGGGCGGGCGGGCACCCACTTCCTGGGGGACAGCACGGCTGGGAGGGCAGGCAGACCAGCTCACACCTGCTGGAACAGCTGCATAAGTCGGCCATGGGGGTGTGAAGGCCAGGAGGGAGGGCCGGCTCTAGGGGCATCCGAGGAGCACAGAGGCACTCCCCCGTCTAAGCCCTGCACCCACAGCCCCAGAGGCCCACAGCAAGGACTCACCACCCCAAACTTCTTGAAGTACTCCCTGAGTTCGGTCTCGCCGCAGTTGTGCGGAATCCCGCCAACGAAGATCTTGTTCGACTTGCTGTTGTCGCTCCTGGGCCCTTTCTGCTGTCCCGCGGGAAGAGATCGTGAGCGCCAGGGACTCCGGGGACGCCCCCCTAGCTCTGCACTGGGCTTGGGGGCTTGGCAAGCCCGCAGCTGTGAGCAGCCCGCGGTGGCCCTCCCACAAGCCCCAAGTGACGGGAACCTAACACTTCTGTGGGCACCCAATCTCCCCGTGCGGTGACGAGCACATCAGCTGTGGACGCGGGACCGGCTGAGGGTCACGGCCAGGAAATGGAGCTGAGCAGCGGCCATGGGCTGTGAGCTGGGCAGAGCTGACCACAGAAAGCTCTCCCGGCGAAGAGGCCACCCTGTCCCCACGCTCTGCTCACCCTGGAAACACGCTGGGCCCGGCTGCTGGGGAGGAGTCGGCGTCAGGCCCCAGGCTGCCCCTCCACCCGCCCCCGTCCAGCCTGACTGCTCTGTCTCCTGGATGCCGGAACGGGCACTCTGATGGGGGGGGGCTGAGTCGCTGGAACACGCAGCGGGCCGGGGGTGCTACAGTGGCGTTAATTTTTAACCAGGTGGAACCGTAGCCCTGACTGCAGGCCACCCGAGGAGCAGAGCCTGGGTGTGTCTGTGGCTGCCCTGGGAGACAGGAGCGAGCCGCGGGCATGGCTCCAGGCCCCATGGGGACGCCTGGTGGAACACCAGGGCTGAGGGACCCCGGCGCATCGAGGCGTGCCTGTCTTATCACCCCTCCAGTGGGCCTGGACGGGAAGACCCCTCACAGCAAGTCAGAGGGCCAGGAGGCCGGGGCGGTTGGACCCACACGGCTGACGGCACGGTTCCACTCTAAGACTCAGAGTCTTCAAGTCATGTGGGTGAGCATGCCCCAAATCCCACGGGGAAAGAGAGGGCTGTGCTGGGGCGCCCCCTGGGTGTGGTGGGAGCGCACAACCCACGGCGAGCTTTAAATCAGAGGGGCCAGTGGGTGGCGAGGTAGTGGAGGCAGTGGGCTTCCACACGGCCAGCCACGGCTCGAGTCCTGGGCCGAGAGGCTTGGAAACCGCACTGGACGTGTGTACCTGTGCGGGACCCCGAGGGGGAGAGAGCTGCGGCTGGCCACCCCGGGTCCTCTCTCCCTCTCACTGTCTCTGGCGACTGCACGTGCCCTATGGCAAATGAGAACAAGTGGGCCGGGCAGCAAGTCGAACGGTGGTCAAGGTGCTGGACTCCCACGTGACCAAGCACAGCTCAGGGCCGGGAGCTGGGAGCTGGGGAACCACGCGGGCTGCAGGTGTGCGCTCGCCCCGGCTCCCGAGAGGAGAGTGGAGGGAAAGGGATGCGGGGTGGCCAGCCCCAGGGCTCATTTCTTACTTTCCTCCGTCTCTCTGGTGCGCACACAGGCCCTATGGCAAAAACTCTCACTAAAAAAAAAAAAACAGCAGCAGGGGAGAGGGCAGGGGCTGGATGGGGCTGCAGGGCCGGCCCGCGGGGGTGGTCCGACAGGGAGCACGTCGGGCTGTCTGTCCCGCGGAGAGCTCCCACCTGGACACGTTAGGACTACGCCCTGGTGAGGCGGAGGAGGTAGCAGAGTGACGCGCCGGAGCACACTGACCCAGCCCACGCACCCCTGAGGAGCGGCCCTCACTGGACAAGACGGGAGACGCCACGGCGTGGCCTTACCCAGCCTTCCTTCGGCCGCGTCCGCTCTGGCTGCATCCCCCGTGGCGTGCATGGCTTCGGGTCGATCTGGGGAAAGTTGCAAACCCACTCCATGAACACGGCGAGCAAGAGGCACACAGCTCACGGCCCAGGCCGAGCCCTGATCCCCCCGGGCAGCCAGCCCTCAGGCGCTGCGGGCACTTACATTCCGGCCGTCCAGGGTGTGCGGCCTGCTGGCCAGCACGGTGCCCACGCAGTTGGGGTCTTTGAACTTGACGAACCCGAAGCCCCGAGACTGGTTGGTTGTCTTGTCCTTCATGATGACACAGTCCACGACCTCCCCATACTGGGAGAAGTAGCTGCGCAGGGTCTCTGCTCGCAGACCGGGGACGAGAGCAGACACACCACCGGGGCCTGAGCACGAGCCTCGCCGCCGCATACACGCCCTTCCTCTCCTCCCCCGGACGCCAGGACGAGCCACAGGGCGCCTCACGCCTGCACGCGCGGCGGGCTCCCAGCACAGGCCCCATGGCCGGGACCAGGCCTGCTTGCTCCCCTGACGCGGGCCCGGGGCCTGCATGGCGGCTCAAATCAACACCTCAGCCTGCAGCAAGGGGCCCGCCAGTCCCCCGTGACCACTGGAGCACCCAGGCACAACAGCGGCTCCAAGCAAGGACGGTCCTCTGCCCCAGCCTGGGTGACCAGCCCAGAACCCAGACCCAGGAAAAGACGGTGAGGACGCCTGTGCGGGGCCGGCCCACGGCACAGCAGCTGCGGCCTGGGCACCGGGAGCCCCCTCTGTGTCTCCCCAGTCAGGGAGACATGGGCCGACCCCCGTCACTTGAAGGCAAAGGCCACAAATGGGCCCTGCCCTGCCCGGCCCGGCCCGGCCCAGCAGGGTGGCCCACCTACCTTGGGTTGTGCTCCAGTCGAGACCGCCCACGAAGAGCTTCCTGCAACCAAGATACGCTTCAGGAGGCGGTCACGGCCAGCCCCGCGTGCCACCCAAGGGCCCACGACAACAGGCACGCTGATGTTCCCAGAGCCTGGCCCACGCCATGGGCAAGCCGCCTAGCATGGCAGGAAGGGCTGAGACGCAGAGCCACGGTGGCCACGCAGGACTGTGCCGCTTCCCAGTGGGGTCTGGGGCACGCCTCCGTTTCTGCCAACATCAGCAGGGATTTTCAAGTCTGGATTTGAAGTCATGCACGTAAGGTGCAGGTAAGAGACCCCGGGACGCCCTGCCATATAGCCTCACTCACGACCTGCGGCACGGGCGGCGCGATGAGGCTCGGCCGGGAGGCTCCCGAAGTCCAGACTGAGAGTCTGAGCCCACGGCCCCACCCCAGGGTGCCAGGCTCTTTCTGGGTGGGTGCCCCAAATTGTCCCTGCTTCTCACGGAGCCACACAGCGGAGCACCAGATGTCACCCGTGCTGCTGCTGCTCCTGGTGGCTCGCCCAGGGAAGGGGCCAGGTGCTCAGGGCCAAGCCCTTCACTGCACCTGGGCTGGGACGCTCCATACCGACACCACCCGAGACCAGAGCCTCTCCCAGGCTCCGGGTCACCACCAGGGACATAGGAACCCACGGCCATCTCTCGGGAAGGAAGCCCAACACGGCCGACACCACCACTCGGCGGGTGTGTGGAGGGCTGGCCAACTTCAACACACTGGCCCAGCGGGGCCAAGCAGCCTGGAGCAGAAGGCGGCGGCCGGTGGCGGCAGTGGCCGGTGCGCCAGTGCCTGTGCGCAGCGCGAGGCTGTCTGGCTGCAACGCCAGCCTCATGAGTCAGCCCTTGGCAGCAGCCCGCGAAGGCAGACCGACAGGGCGCATTCCTCTTCCTTCTCCGAGGAAGGGCACTTGAAATCTGGGGTGAGGAGCGGTCTCCCACGCCAGGGAGTGCCACGTCCAGACGTCAGCGAGCAGGCCCCTGCCCGCCTGACCCTGCTGGGTGCTGGGGGCGAGACGGCGGGAGCCCCAAGTCTGGGTGTCGGTCGGCAGAGCGGCACAGACAAGTTTCGGGGCGGTGGGCCGACAAGCAGCGGCAGCGGGAGCGGGGCC